GAACATTTAGATTTTAGAAAAATTTGTCAAAAGTTTTTCTCTTTAATAAGTTTATTTGGTCATTTTTAAATTAATCAAGTTTTACTCAAAATAAATTTTAAGATAATTATTTTGATATGAAGAAAGCGTAAATGATGATTTAAAGCTATCTAAAAGTGGTAAAACTTCAATCTTTCAAGTTCTGGGTTTATTGTAATCAATTACCGTGTATAATAATTGATTACCATGCTATTGTTGTACCTAGAGTTCAAAATTTCATTTGTGTAATCGATTACACATTCATGTAATCAATTACCAGAAAATGATCGTTGCCAATTTTTAAAATTTTGAACTATGTAATGAATTAGAAGTTAATGTAATCGATTACTAAAGACCAAAATATGCAAAAAGATGCATTTTGAAGAGACGTATCCTTTTGGATTAATCTCTAATGATCCATACGAATTGTTCAATATAGTTAGTGATAAATCTGGATTTTATTACATTTTTAGTATAATTTTTGTTAATAAATAAGTAGTACAGTACCAAATAAACTTGGAAATAATTTTTAGTAGGAAACTGCAAGTTATTTATTATTCCAGTAAAGTCTTAAATTCTGCATAAGTAAATTATATAACTACTGAGAATGAACTCCTTGCCATTGTGTTTGTTTTTGGTAAATTTAGATCATATTTGATGGGATCCAAAATCATAGTCTATACTGATCATTCTGCCCTCAAATATTTGTTGTCCAAACAGGATGTCAAGCCAAGATTATTAAGATGGATTTTGCTGCTGCAGGAGTTTGAATTGAAAATTAGAGATAAAAAGGGAAATGAAAATGGGGTAGCTGATCATTTGTCCAGACTTCCATTGGACAGTTTAACCTCTAATTTCTCAGACATAAATGAAGAATTTTCAGATGAGAGACTACTTGCTATGGAAGATCTACCTTGGTTTGCTGACATAGCAAATTTTAAGGCCACTCAACTCATTCCAAAGATGTTCACTTGGCAGCAAAGAAAGAAATTTCTACATGACAACAAATTTTATGTATGTGAAGATTCTTATTTAATCAAAATTGGGGTGGATGGTCTACTTAGAAGGTATATCCCACAAAGTGAACAAATTGAGATATTGTGGCATTGTCATAATTCAGACTATGGAGGCCATCATGGGAGTTCAAGAACTGCTGCAAAAGTCTTACAAGTAGGATTTTTCTGGCCTACACTCTTTAAGGATGCCAAGAATTATGTTAAGAGTTGTGATAAGTGCTAAAGGACAGACAACATCTCTAGAAAATGTAACACGTTAATTTAATTTCAAATAAATAATAATTTTGCAAATTCAGAATAATAAAAGTTTCATAAAATATTTCGAAATAGGGAAAGGGTTACAATTTTATATCAAATAACTGCTACAGGACCATTTCTAATACAACAGTCTCAAAATAACATGCTAAGCCTTATAGCAGTTCCATCCAACCCTTCACTGAGTCCAGTGCTGATCGTCTTGATTATCTGAAAAATGAATGTAAGGGTGAGTACTCTACACTATCAAACACTCAAACAAACATAAAGTCTTACCTTGCACCTATTTTACATCATTTCTAACACAATTCATAAAATATATTCACAGGCAGCAATACTACTCCATTCAATTTAATTCAAACACCGATGCACTCATGGCATCAAACAGTTTACGCACACACAAAATTAACAAACAATAATCCCATGCACTCACTGCACGCCAGCCACGTTCACAGTGGCACTATGATCACAAACTTTCACTATGGATGGTCGCCGGTTACCCCCGCCTCACGGATACCACGTGAGCAATCACGGGTCGCTCAGCAAAGGTAGTGGTCAGAGATTTAGTCAGGAAGAGAGTGTGTGGCTCGTGGTACACTCGCTCCCATAGTCGGTGTCACCACCACTCCCTCTCCCCAAGGTATTTTTACTGTCCTCATCTTTCACACCTCTAGTGTATCGTTGAACCATTCACAGCACGTACACTGGAGTTAATCACGCCCCATTCACACACATTGCAATATTCATTCTCAGTATACGGCATAAAGCCCACAGTCATGCATAAGACACGGTACTAGACCCTCATTTGTTTTACAGTACATGGCACAAAGCCTATATTCATTCATATTACACGGCCTTTAGGCCCACACTTGTTCGCAATAATTGTTCTTAATACACGGCACAAGTGCCCACATGCATTTACAACATAATTCATTTCAACCACACATACAATATTCACCATTGTACAAGGCTCTCAGCCTACACTTATTTACATTGCACAACACACACATTGTCCTTATTTACTCACAATATTTTCAACATAATTCACATTTACATTCCTCATTCATCATGTATTAGCATACTCACACCACACAATCACCCATTACAGGTTTCCACATGCTATCACACCTCACAACACACAACAAATTCCATCAAATACAAATTTCCTACACTCTATCTCAACCACATTGCAATATTCATAAAAATACACAACAATCAAACCCAAAGAGATAGGGCAGAGTCTCCCTTTACCTTGGATTGAAGATTCACACTCGATTTCGGCCTAAATACATGGAAGAATTCCATGAAAACCCAAGAAAATCACGAAAACAAAGAAAGGGGATGAAAAACAAAAACCCTAACCATTAAAACTCACCTCTAAGCGTTCCCCACACGGATTCAACCTTCAATCTTGCTCCCGAATGGCTTTGGAGGCAATTTCATCAGTAGAATAGGGTTTTCAGTCGAGAGAATCAAAGAAATTTGGAAGAAAAATAGAGAAATGAAATTCCAGTCCCTAAACCTCTTTTTAAAACCCCTCTGGTCGTGACACTCTTGCTACAACGAGATATCCTCGCTGCAATGACCCCTTCCCTCGCTACAGCAAAAAATTTAGACAAAACTACACTCTGGTTTCTATAGAATCTCGATACAGCGAGACTGCACCTAGAAATACAACACAAACTATGGCTTTGTCGCTACAGTGAGAGACCTCTGGCTACAGCAACAGTTTCATCCTTCTCTTCCAGTGCCCTTTTGCTAGAGCAAGAATCATCTCGCTACAGCGAGAATGCCATGCAGCAGCATCCATACTTAGCCTATTTTCAGCCCAATCAATCCAATCCAATTATACACACACACACACACACACACACATCCATACACATTATACCCACAAACATCATCATTACGTATCTAAATGCAAGTTACATCTTTCACATTTACACATACATATAAACACACACACACATATAACAATAATAATTAATATTACAAAAATTCGGAGCATTACAGGAAACATGAGTTGCCATTGACAAATAATTTGGAAGTGGAATTATTTGATGTATGGGGAATTGACTTCATGGGACCTTTTCCCACATCTTTCTCCCATGAATATATTCTTGTGGCAGTTGATTATGTTTCTAAGTGGGTGAAAGTCATTCCAACAAGAACAAATGAAGCCAAGGTGGTAATTTCTTTTATAAGAAGGAATATTTTTACTAGATTTGGAGTACCCAGATTTTTAATAAGTGATGGAGGTGCTCATTTCTGCAACAAACATCTTGAATTAGTTCTAGCAAAATATGCTGCTAAGCATAAAGTTGCTACTCCTTATCATCCACAAACAAGTGGACAAGTTGAAGTGTCAAATAGAGAAATTAAACAAATTCTGGAAAAAGTGGTGAATAATTTAAGAAAGGACTAGTCAAAGAAGTTAGATGACTCTTTGTGGGTATATAGAACTGCCTACACGAGTCCAATTTATATGTCACCTTACCAATTAGTCTTTGGAAAGGCATGTTATTTACATTTGAAGCTGGAACATAAAGCCTATTGAACCACTAAGTGGCTGAATTTTGACTTAACAAGTACTGGAAAGAAAAGGATATTACAGCTATATGAGTTGGAGGAATTTAGGCAGTAGACCTATGAAAATGCTAAGCTATACGTGGAGAACAATTTTTATAAATGCTCTTCAAAGTATGAACCATGAATTTAAAATTTGAAAATTCTTCCCACATGAGTTTTTTATTTCAAACTAAAATTAATTTATTGTTATGTTTAAACTTCAATTTGTATGTTTGGAATTCAAAATTTCTGCATTTGTGAGTTTTTCTATCACAAACTAAAATTGATTCTTTGTCTATGTTGTGTTAACCAAATAGTACACAATGAATGAAACACTGATAAACAAAAAAAGATTAGGAGGTTTCATTGTCAATAGAAAGAGAAAAGAAAAGGAAGAAAGAATGAAGAGAGACAATGAAACGGTAAATTACATTCATGAAAGAGAACAACTTTGTTAGAGTAAAGAGAATGAAAGAGAAGAGATTCACAAAGTTGATGTGAGTTGAGCAATTCATCCTTAAGTAAGTTTATAAATTAAAATTTACTAAAATTTTTTAAAGTTTTCATTTGAAATCGGTTAATACATAATTGTTTATCAAAACCACTTTTAAGGAGCGGTTACGTAGACAACTCTCCAAAATCACCTTCAAAGAGCGATTATATTATTAGTTTTACAAGTGACCATTTCAAAAAATGAAAAAATTTGCTTAGTGTGAATATTTATTTTTTTTAATTACAAATATTTCACCTTTTTCTATTATATTATCAGTTATATTTATTCTGGATCATGAAGGTATATTGGTAATGTGCCCGTGTAACTAGCATTAGTATTCCGAACCACGTTACGAACTTCAAATGGAAACAAAGTAATTAAATAAATTCCAACCAGTTGGTTTATCATAAACCACGTAACCCTGTCCACTGACATTTATGGAATAACCGCATTTAACTGCATGAAAAATGTTTATCAGGAAACGTGTATGTATGGCATCTCAATCACCCTACTTTCCTTCCTTTATATTTCCTCACTGTCTTCCTTTTCCCTATGTTTCTATTCTTCTGTGCCACCCTTTGATCCTCTCTTTCTCTCTCTGTGTCTCTCTTATTTTCCTGCCCCTTGTGCTAGAAATCCCAAACAACGTCATGTATAAAGTCACCGTTGTGGGTAGCGGCAATTGGGGCAGTGTTGCGGCTAAGCTTATTGCCTCCAACACCATCAGGCTTAGCTCCTTCCATGGTACATTTTTATTTAACAATGTTACCTATCCCTCAAAATATTTCCTTTTTTTCTAATTTATCTTTATTTAACTTAGTAATAGTACTTAGATCTTTTTTGTTACACTTTTTTATTAAGATTAAAATTTTACTGCTACTTTTAATGTAATCAACATTTGTATTAGAATTATTTAGATAAAACTTCAATTTTTATTTAATAATGATAAAAATATTTGAAATATTGCAGTTCTGTCTTTTCAATATTATTAAAATTATGTGTTTCTAGCTATATATTAAAAACTCGTTAAATTTTCTGTTTTGATTAAATATAGAAATTGAAAAAAAAAAAAAAATAGAGACCAACGCTAGAATTGTCATATTCTCATAAACTAAAATCATATTTAAGGCTATTCCTTTTTTTTACTCCATAAGTATTCTTCTAGTTCTAGTTTCTTTTTGTTTTGGCCATGCATGCAAAGTGCACAGCAGCATTGTGAATGAGTGTTCTTTAGTAGTCATGTGCCTTTTGGGTTGAGCGAGTTTTAATTTTGTAATTTGATGTCCAGACGAATAAAAATGATAAAATGCAAGGGTGGATTGCTCTTGCCAAAGGAGTCATACGTGCTCCCCGTTATCAGTAAACAAATAAAATTTTCATTCGAGTGCTAATTTTCAAATTTTAATGATTTCCTCGGATAATCAGATGAAGTGAGAATGTGGGTGTTTGAAGAAAAACTACCAAGTGGGGAGAAGCTCACAGATGTTATCAACAAAACCAATGTAAGGGCCAGGCATGCGTTTCATTCCCAATTGTGTATGGAATATCTCTATCAATATTAGATAATATACTTTTTTTTGCTTTTCTTGTTTTTTGGCAGGAAAATGTTAAGTATCTCCCTGGAGTCAAGCTTGGTAAAAATGTAGTGGCAGATCCAGACCTTGAAAATGCAGGTGTTAATTAATAGTTCACTTTTTCTTTTTTAATTTTGTCTTCAGTGTTATACATTATGATTTGACAAGTAAAATAAAATTTCTAAGCTTGTACCAAAAGAAACAAGATTTGGATAGAGAAATTGACATAAGACATTAAAACTCCACAAGCCTTTTATAGTTGGTAGGCGCTTTTTGGGGTGAACTTATCTTCTGTTCTGAATGGTTGATCGTGCAGTGAAGGATGCCAACATGTTAGTATTTGTAACTCCACATCAATTCATGGAAGGAATATGCAGAAGGCTTGCTGGGAAAATAAGGGCAGATGCAGAGGGTATTTCACTAATCAAAGGGATGGAGGTCAAGAAGGAAGGTCCATGCATGATCTCTACTCTCATTTCCACACACCTAGGAATCAATTGTTCTGTTTTAATGGGAGCCAACATAGCAAATGAGGTAGCTAGAGGATATTAAACACTTGTTTAATGTAAAATACTTGGGCCAGCTTATAATTAATATCTTAGTTATGATGTATTCTGTTTGAACAGATTGCCATGGAGAAATTTAGTGAAGCAACCGTTGGATATCGTCAAAACAGAGAAGCAGCAGAGAGATGGGTTCAATTGTTTAGCACTCCTTATTTCGTTGTGACAGCTGTGAGTGTAGCACATCCTTGCTTAATGAGCAAGTGAAAACTGACTAATAGTTCCGAATGGGAAAAAAAAGAAAGACAAACTGTGGGAATTTGTTCACTGTAATCGGTTTAAGAAATATTGTCATGGATGAAAAATACCAAAGTCATGAATAGTAATCTTTTTCTTTTGGTTTACTAATCTTGAGTGTTTTTAATTTGTTGAAATATTGAGATAAGCTTTATAGTTATGATTTTTGCATTATCATTTAATAGGTCCAGGATGTTGAAGGGGTCGAATTGTGTGGAACTCTAAAAAATATAGTGGCCACAGCTGCAGGTTTGTAGTATAGTATCTGCACTTTGTTCTCTCCTCTATACAGTTTTGTAAATGATCAAGAAATGGCAAATGGGACAGGTTTTGTTGATGGCTTGGAGATGGGAAATAATACAAAAGTAAGTCAAGGGATTTCTAAGTTCAGACAAGCCGCACCCCTTCCCCCCCCTTCTGCCATTGTTACTTCTTTTTGGATTTCTTAATTTCTACATTTGTGTAGGCGGCAATCATGCGAATTGGTCTGAAGGAGATGATGGCATTTTCAAAAATGCTGTTTCCATCTGTTAAGGACAGCACCTTTTTTGAGAGCTGTGGTGTAGCTGACCTTATCACAACAAGCTGTAAGGACACTGATTGACTTCACCTTTCTTTTCAATGGTTACTTTGGTTTTATTAAAACCATATTATTTGTGGCAGTGGGTGGGAGAAACAGAAAAGTTGCTGAAGCTTATGCCAGAAATGGTGGGAAGAGGTTGGTTGTTCTCCCTCAGGTCAACAATGATTGGATGAGTAAAGGAAAATATAGTTAATTGGACTTATCTGAATTCTGCTTCTTTTATGCAGGTCTTTTGATGAGCTTGAAGCAGAGATGCTCAAAGGCCAGAAATTGCAGGTATATACGTGAAACTTATTATATCAAACAATAATACATTTTATTATTTGGAAAGTTGCTACTAGATATTCTTAGACACACATTTTGAAAGTGAGTAAATATTTAAATATGAAGATTGAAGTGTATAAAATTAGAAAGTCTTAAAATAATTTGGCTTAAAAAGTTAAAAAATGAAAATCCAGTTTAAATTTTCATATTCATGGGAAGCTCTTCCGATATCAACCAAACAGATTCTTTTTGAGGTTAGATACATCTAGAAGTAATGTTAGTGTTACTGATTCCTGTGTCCTTGTTATCTAATTTCCTTCCATCAAGGGTGTTTTAACATCAAAAGAGGTTTATGAGGTTCTAAGCCATCGTGGATGGCTAGAAAAGTTTCCTCTCTTCTCAGCAGTGCACGCAATCAGCACAGGTCGCCTTCCCCCATCAGCCATAGTTGAATTCAGCAATGACAAATCCAGGTACTCTTCATTAAAGGCTCAGGGAAGTAGTACTTCTTGTTAAGTACTAAGTAGCATTGTTTATGTTTACAATTACAATGTTAACTTGTAGGCGTAGGCAGAGCAGGCTTTAGCTGTGCACCAGACATGGAGGGGAGCCTTCTGACACAGTTGCATTTTCTCATAAAAATCTTACGCCAACAAAGAGCTCATTTATTTGATAGGAAGTCAGCACATACCCAGAAGGCTGATGGCTGTTCTCTTTGAAGGCCTAGGAAGCTAACTCTTATTCAGTGTTTATATCAAGTTATACTTTTCCCACTGAAAGTAACACATCCAATAGGCTGAATACACCATAGAAGTGATTTGAATCTCTAATGATTGCATTGTCCAATTTTTAGAATGTATTAAAATTATCCATTTGTTTGTCCCCAATATCTAGCAATTGCTTCCAAATTTTGTATGTTGTAGAACTGTATTGTCTGGGATTAATATATATACATATACATTGTTCTTATTTAATTTCCCCCTGCCCTACCCTTTTGATTTTATCCCTTTTTGAGACTTAGAGAGAACACATCGGGTATATATATACACCCCAATGTAACTGTATACTTAACACATTACATGTCATTTCATCGCTAAATCAACTTCTTAGATAGCGTTTAATTCAACTAATGTCTAACATTCTTTGAAGAGTACTTTAAGAATAAAAGTTTCTCATATTTGATAAAGAAAATTAAGATATGAAAAAAGTTCATGCGAGAATGTTAATTAATGTAAAAAATTGTATTCCCACTTTCATAGATGGGAATCAAATGCATCACATCGGTCATTACACAAAGCTAAAATGAGATATGGAAAGACAAATTTGTTAAATATTTTGTATTTAATGACAAAATTTTTTAAAAGACTAATGTGTTGTCAAGTTAGTAGCATTTCCTGGATAAGGAATTGATTCACAAAGAAAGAGAGGAAGAAGGAAGTCATACCATCTGAATGAAAAGTGAATCTCACTGTAACACCAAACCCTTTCTCCAATGCTAATAGTTATCATATCTGACATAAGCCATGCTACACAACCAGATGACCAATATAAAAAAAGAAAAGAACCCCATAAAACCAACTCATGCATGAATATAATTTCATAATAGCAAGAATTATCCAGTCCTTATTCTGTCCAGCCGGTCAACACTCTTCCTTCCTTTTTCTAGTTGATGGTCAATGCTTTTTCGAGATTTCTCATGGCAATCCACACTCCTCCGAGACCGTTCCTTATGATCAAAAGTCATTCTCAATTTCTCTAACATATCAGCATTACTAGACAAATTTTTCAGCTTTTCTGGCCTGTCTGTGCTCTTCCTTGGCTTTTCTCTACGATCAGTGCTCTTTCTACTTACTTCAAATATATCTGTACTCTTTCTAGGCAGCTCAAACTGGTCTGTGCTCCGTCGGAAACTGTATCGTTGGGATGGAGACTTCTCAACTGTTGTTATGAACTTCTTCAGATGCCTGATATACTCAGGAAAGAGCTCCAAATCACAGTGGTTACCTCCTTTGAGCCACAGTGGTTCATACTTTTCTTTACAGAGTTCCCAGAGTTGCTTGCCATGGGAGCAATCTACAACTTCATCTGAAGTTCCCTACACAAGGACATAAAGGAATAAATGGCATATACTGGGTCATTACTACTGTAAGATTTTTAAAATGTCTTTATGTAAATATTTGGACTAGTAATTATGCATTTTAGTTCGAATGCCGAATGCTCTTACCCCCCTAATTGCATGCCAGAGGCAGAGCATTCCAAAATGTTTGGACTAAATGGCATATACTGGGTCATTACTACTGTAAGATTTTTAAAATGTCTTTATGTAAATATTTGGACAACTAATTATGCTTTTTAGTTTGAATGCCGAATGTTCTTACCCCCCTAATTGCATGCCAGAGGCAGAGCATTCCAAAATCTTACACTGAAATTAGTGTATTGACCTCAGCTAATCCATTTTGGTTAAACAACATAGCAGACAAGTATTGTAATAAAAGAAATGTGAATAACAGTCTGAAAGATTATAGGTATTTCATTCACAACAGTAATAATGAAATTGTCTGAAATCTATAAAAAAAATTAATTATGAGAAATCATTCGCCAGAAGATTCCCTAAATGGATGTCATTGCCTGCAAAACAAGTATAGACACAATCTCACTAATGTCTGTGCATGGAGCACCCTATTTTAGACGACAGACAAGAAGTAGAAATGCATAGTAAGCAAGACTCCAAGACAAGGACAAAGCCATCAGCATTTGGACTTCAATATAGCTTTCAAATTTACAACTATATTCTTCAAAAATGGAAATGCATGAGTCACCCACCATTTTGGGGAAAGCATAAGATGAACACAACCTAACACCCACAAATTTTTTGACGTACAGTATGCCCATGAATTGTGATGTTGCATCAGTGACAAGAACCTTGAGCAGAAGGTAGCAAGCAGCAACCTTACCTAATGTAGATTGGGTTGTTTTAGTTTTTATTTTAATTAGGATTTTAATATCGTAAGTAGGATTTTCGTTTGAGATTATGTTGTTAAGAGAGCACTACACCTTATAGGAATATACTAGGTTTATCAGGGAAGTACCCTGCCAAGAGGAGATTCTTGGATAGCTCCACACCATTACCCTTGCCCCAAAGCTCACCCTTTCCTAATACTATGCCTGAACTATATAGAGTAGTATGGAGACATGTGGTCATAAAGTTCAGGGCCAGAACTATATGTGCCTTTGTTAGAGTATTTTATCCTTCTTTTACATTTCTGAACAACATAACAAGAGGTTCTGAGCATACAGATTGCTGTGCTGAACATTTTGTGCCAAATACTCAAAATGAAAATTAGTTTTAAATATTCGATAACTAGAAGAAAAATAACAGAAGAAAAAGATGCTAGTCAAGTAGCCGAGATCAAATATAGCAAAGCAAAATATGTCAGAAGAATACAACTAATCTAGAAGCTAAGCAGGTAAAATAAATTATAGATGCAATTATATGCCATAAGAAATATCTTTGAAGCATACTTACATGAATTATGAGAACTGGACAATTAACTAGTGGAATTTTGTCAATATTCTGCACAGTCACACCAAGTAGCATCTCATTAGATTAAGGGACTCACATATATGAAAGAAATAAAAATAGTATACTACCTTATATATGTCAAACCAGTATGTACGCTTTACTGGATACATGACCCTTAAGCCGGAAAGTATGGGACTGTGCAGAACAACAGCTCTTAATTGAGGCAACCTAGCTGCAAGATCCAATGTTGGGCCACTGCCAACAGATTGTCCATAAAGGATTATATCTTCCTGCTTAACACCGTAGCTTTCTTCTAGACACTTGTACACAGCCTCAATATCTGAATATGTGTTCTGCTCACTTGGCTACAGGTCAAGCAAAATAAGGTTCATTAGTGAGGATACTTACAACCCTACCACCATCCAAATTTGGGTGCAACACGACCCAAACAAGCGTTTCATATTATTAACAAAATACAAACCTTCCCCGATGAATGCCCGTACCCAGAATAGTCATACCTGCACAACATTATAGATTGCCATAAGAACAACTCCCATTTTACACTTCATCTCTCAGGTTCAGCTCTATCAACAAAACACACTAACTAGATCAATTTCAACAAAAGATAAAAATTTACCCAGCTTGTGTTACGCTAATGTCATAATCAAGAACTTGAATTTTATACACAATTAAAGAGACACACATCCAACAGAACAATGCGGTTGAAAGATTAAGGGGGAAAAAAAGATTAACCAGTAGTATTGTTATTATTATTATTACAAACCAATCCTAGTACTCTACATCCACAAAATAAAACAAGACAATTTCCAGCTGATCGCAAACTTCACACCTACCAATCAATTGCTTCAATTTGAAAAACCAAACACAAACCATCCATAACAGAACAAACATAGAGGACTCATTTCCCCATGGTCAAAATTAAGAAAACCCTGAAACCAAAAAGAAGCGAAATTTGCAGAAAGCAAAACAATGAAAGGAAGAAAAACGAAAATTGCGGAAAAGAGAGAAAACAGGGTACCCCATGAGGTTAACGCGCAAGTGGATGCTGAGCTGGATGAAGAGCTCATACATCTGACCCAGATCAGCTGCGTTTCCATGAGAATAGAGCAAAGTGGAAGTGGCCATAGGATGCCGAATGTACACTGCCACTATCTCCGTTCCACGCCGAGTCGGAAGCTTCAGAATTTCCACGTTCTCGCGGTGAGGAAACGGCGTTAGCAGCAAAAGCCCCGTTAACTCGTCCGTAACCAGCTTGTACGACGGTGGGTTTGGTGGGAAGAACGCGAACTTCGCAGCCATGGATGAAGTTACCCCTCCCATCACACACACACACGCACACTGTTTTTCTCTCTTTTACTGTGAATTGTTAATATGAATTGGGTCAGATCTTCTCTTGTTTCTATTTCCAGAAAGTTAATGGGAATGGAAAGGGAAAGGGTGGGTGGTGATGGTGAAAGAGAGCTTCTTTGTTTTTCTTCTGGTGGCTGTTACTTTGGTGCTTCAAATGTAGAGAGAGAGAGAGAGAGAGAGAGAGAGAGAGAGAACTTTTTATTTACTTGTTTGCTTTATTCGCAGTTGGACTTGGACCAGTGAACATGACCAATGGAGCTCACATCATACTGTCATTGATAATTTGGGATGTTGCTTTTCCGCTACATAATTTGGTCTGTTTTTGTTTGATAATGTTATTGCGCCATTTGCTCCGTAAGAACCCATGAATAGTATCATGATGTATGCATGCTCTTTCCATGTTTTTCATTTCCTTCACTTATTTTCTTCTTTTATAATTTACTTTTTTATCTCTTTTCATCAGGTTTCCTACTTATAAAAAGAACATCATGAAACCATGTTTAGGAATGGAATTTCTCATTTTGTGTGTACAAGTTGTTGAACGTAACTAAAGAAATTATAAATTTTCAACAAGAAAAAATATGTGCTTTTTTTAATATATTGTGCCCTTTTTTCTTTTGGTCCAAAAATATCTTGTTCCCTAAACATTTTCCTTTTTTTTAGCTTTAATTATGTGTGTTGTCTCTCTAATTTGTATTATATATAATTTTAATACCTTGATCTTTTATTTTAATTAATTTTTTATTTTAAAATTTAGTAAATTTAGTCTTTCATTAAATTATTTTTTACTTCTCATTTTTTATAAAAAAAATCTTTATAATTTGAATCAATTAAATTATCTTTTATTCAAAACCAACCCACTAAAATATCAAATTTTAGCTAAAAAAACCCAAAACCTTCCATTTTTAAATCACAATCTCACATCTTATAAAACCATTTAAATTGTATCAAGTTTTTACTAAATTTCTTACGTCTAGCCTTCTCGTATGATTTTATGTTTTAATTCAATTATACATCTCCTAAAAAGTAAGAGTTTTGAAGTACAAAAAATCAATGAAAATATAAATTTACATAATCTTAAAATAAATAAACTTAATTAGTTTTTTTTAAAAAATTGAGAGGCCAAAGTTGTATATAATCCAAAAAAAAATAAAAAGTGTAATTGATTATTTTAAGAAAAAATTTCAAGTGAACTATAACTCTTTAAATAATAGAATAATTATATTGTGTTTCGATAGAAAGAAAATAACAAGGGGAAAAATTAAAATTTAAATTAAGGAGAAAGAAGAAGAGAGAGAAAAACTAAACTTTGTTTAGTTTAGTTATCATTTTTAAGTTTTTAAATTTTTAAAAATCAAAACAAATTTAATTTTATAACTTTTATTTTAAAATTTATATGATTTTAAATTTTACTACTAAGTATTTAATTTATATCATTTAAGTTACTTCTCAATTTAAACTTACTTGATGATGAAATAATAATAATGGTTGGGTACAAAAAAAAAAAGGAAGTAATAACATTAAAAGTAATGAACTTGTGGTGACAATATTTCTGATGGTGAAAGTGATAATAACAAAATTGATAATAGTAGTGTTGTTGTTAAACAATAGTTATAACACGAGAATAATAGTTGTAATAATAAGTATTATTGTGACATTGATGATAACAATAATAATAATGACTACTAAGAGTGATATTGATCTTGATATTGATATTATTATTATTATTATTATTATTATTAATGGTGAAAATGATAACTATTATAATAAAAAGATATTAAGAAATATAAATGAACTAAGTCAAAAAATTTCAAGTTTAATTTGTTAAAAAATATATATATTCAAGTTTATTTCATTTATTTAATCAAGGTAGGCCTCAAGGTTGAGTTTATCTTCAATAAAAATTTTGAAACTTAGACTTTCATTAACTTGTTTATATATTTATCATACGTTTTGAATAATGTTTTTATTGATTTAGTATTTAATAAATATTTTTATGTTAAAAAGTAAAATAAAATATAATACAATATAATTTTAACGACATAAAAATGACTTAGATTAAAACTAAAAAATTATTATAAAAATACCATATTTATTTAAAAAATTATAAATTTTAAGTAAATATAATAATAAAATTATAATTACTTGAATATACATATGTGTGAAATATTTACGAACTATTAATATCAAATTTATAAAAATTAAACTTGACATATTTAATTAAATAAGTAAATGTCTTTAAGTTTAATTTTTTTATTTAGTTAAACAAATAAATTTAACTAAATATTTAACGAGTTAAGTTCAAATAGTTTATATTTTTATTAATGATGACAATAATTAGCAGTTGATTAGTAATAATCTTAATAATGATAATTATTATTATATATCTTTTAAGAGAGATGAGAGTGACGTAATTTATTACTTAAAAATTGAAAATAAACTATTTTAAAAAAATTTAAGATCAAATTATTTTAAAATTGAGCTTAAAAGCAATTCAATTTCATTTCAACATAACATATTTTGTTTTAAAAATTGCATTTAGAAATTAAAAATTGAAAACTCTCAATAATCACACGCTGATTAGTTTCTATATAGGTCAATTTTCATTCTCTTTACTCTTCACTTTCTCTTGCGTAGAAAAAATCATTATTCGCAGTTTTTTTCTTCTTTATTTGATTTCCTCCCATCCAAACATAGCAACAGCGCGGCAATATTTTAAGAAGAATAGAACACAATTAGTTTAAATAGATCACTTTAAGCTATGTGTTAAATTATTGATTGCGTTTTTTTGTCGGGTTGATTAATAGTTATTACATTTTAATTAAAAAAAAAAACTAACTCAAATATTTGGATACCCTGTCGGCATTGAGCTAAATCAGTAGCTTAGCCAGTTAATTGGCAGAGGTTGGTTTCTATCATTATCCGAATAGTCACTTGTTCATACGTATACAAGAAGTAGAAACTGAATTAGGGGCTTTGAATTATCCATATTTGTAATATGCCTACACGTTATTTTATTTTTTTAAGTCTGTCGAATAAAACACTTTAATTGAGGCCCAAAATAATTGGAGGAACTACAAACGGGTTTGCCACGATTATAGTGAAAGATTCTATAGTTTGAACCCATAAATCATATATACTCGATACAGTACATTATTATATTAAAATGATATTAGATGATAATTGAAGACATTATATATATATATACAACATGACTATAATCACCCTTTTTTAATCTTCTTAAGATTATTTAATTTAAAATTTTAAGAGATATTTAACTGGGTTATGAGTAAAAGTAACAATGAATTAGTTATAAAGTAACTTCGCTAGAATAATATCACTGTGCAAATTAAGTTAAAGTAGTTAAACAATAACATTTCAGAAGAAAGTAAAATAAACTAATGGTATATATCTTTAGCTTAAAAAAAGGTTCATACTAGTTGTTAAAAGATAAAAGGTAAATAAATTGAAGAGACCAGAAAGACAATCACTAATGTTAATAAGTGAATATATTTAATTTTACGGAGAAATCATTATTTAATTATTAATAACATAAGGAAGATGAAGATGATTCAAGAAAAGTAATTACATAATCATGTAACTACAACAATGAATGCGTAGGAAAAGGAGGAGAATGCTTCTTTTTTACACTATTTGATATCTGATCATCGTATTAATACGGTGACTGAAAACTACAATAATGAACTAAAATATGACATTTATAACAAATTGATGACGTGACAAATAATTGAATTGTTATATATCTTAGCTTTTATGGATTATATAAATAGACGCTTTTACTGTGTTCTCATCAATAACGATAGTGAAGCTAACGAGGACCACATAGCAATGGCCAATAATTCTAAACCTCATCTGGTTTGATATCAATGAAACGTCCCTGTTGGTTTAACAGCTTATTTCCGGACCCCCCACCCCAAAGAAAAAGACCCATTTTAATTATTTTTTATTGCTTATTAAAAAGAAATTCTTTAAAATGGTTATTTATTACTTTGAAAAAGTCACAGAGGGATTCTTCTGAATGAACTAAGTACGTTTTATTTTCCTTTATTTTCTTGTTTGGGTGCAACTTTAGCAAAAGATTAATAGTAATAAAAAAATAATCCTAATCAATAAATACAGCTGGAATTATGGAACCGAGGACAACTTTTGCAAACAACAATGACTACCATCATCGACATCTGCCCTTGAGACGGAGAATTGAGCCTTCCCGAACAAACAAACCCGGATTTCTCTGAACATTGGAGTCAAGAACCTTCGATAAATGTTAAATCAAAGTCCCTCGTATCGTCGCTACAAACCATGCATGCATGCAATATTTAGTGTAATGACATGCAGTTGAGCTAATCACGAGTACAGGTGCAGCACAATCAAGTTTTACCCCTAGAAGTGTTCAACACGTTAAATAAATTGGTGATAATTCAAATCACAACAAATCTTATAAGCAATCATATGGAGGGTAGAAAACTGTTTTTGATTTCTTTCCATCTCTTTGTCAGCATAGGTTTGCAATAAAAAGGTAATTACAACAAGTCATAAGAAAGAACGCGCTATGTCCTTTTATTCCGGTAAAGAACCGAGGTAATTGCAATTTTTGAAGGGTACAATCATAATCATAATTTCAGAAAGGAGTGCAACAGATTAGTTTTGTGATCCTTGGCAAGACCCACATCTCAAAGCTCAATTTCACGTGGAGTTGCCACCCCATCAACCCTGACAAAAGTGTTTTAGCGCAAATTGTACTAGCAAGCAACATAAACACAAACACGTGAACGTCAACATGGAAAAGCAAAATTAGCAAGGAACAACAAAAAGGAGTAAATCCCAAGGAGATCATCCCAATGCTTCATATCTGGTCTGGGGATCCCAGATAGTCATGAGAAAAGGTTGAGAACAAGTTATATGCAGACACAGCACAAAGGGTCGTTTGGTCAAAATTACCCATATCAGTTTCCAAAAGGACAAATATCCTCTGCTGGACCCCTCACCCCCAAAACTGTATGAATGTGGTAAATAATCATGCCAATCACTCTGTGGACCCAAAACTCTGGCACTAAACTTGGAATCAAGCTTTGAAGACAAACAATAATCTTGCAGGTAGAAAAGGACCATATAACAACTAATTTCAGTCAGAGAATAACTCGGATCGAAGCCTAGGACGAGATCAAGGGATGTTTGGTTTGTTGTGGGTCCTGGAAATGAAGGAAATTAAGAGAAAGTTGGGCTGGGATGCACTCAACTTAGCTCTATCTTCTAGTG